CTGCTCTATAAGATACTGAGTGTGTCTTGAAATGAATATATATAGCGAGTAGCGATGCTAGGACCTAAAATTAAATAGTAACAATTAATCTGGTCCCTGTATTTCAATTTAATTGAGACTCTCTTATGTTTCAACTGTGACAATAAATGTGATCTCTGATGTCATAATGAACAAATTGTGCTTGTATTCCATGAAGAAAAGACGAATAAAGTTAACAGATGGATGGACTTTGTAATAAAGTAAAAGTTGAACGCAAAAATGACTACATTAAGACTTTGAAGCTAATTTGTTTATCGCCTCAATAGTTCACGGCTATTTCAATATTAACTCTATTAAATTTACAAACCTTTTTCAGAGTAACTTTGTAAAAGCATAGTAACTTAAATCACATTTTTGTCGACATAAATGGTATTACGAATGCTTTAAAAAGCATGTGATTAATTTGTTAATGTATTAGTCCATTCCTGCTCTTTTTAATGCCCCCTTTCCAATGTGAGGCACTTTGTATTCGTTGTGCCCCTTGCATTTACGCACTTCTATCATGACATTTTGTAATGTGGTCCATACACGATTTAAACTTCTTGGGTCAAGCTCATGAAAGGAGTCATGAACATGAGTCACTAATTTATCAATGTTATTGGGCCCTTTTTGATGTTTTAGTTAATTGATGAACCTGAAGCACCCTAGATCTAACTCATTCAAATTTGAGCTATTTGGTGGCTGACAAATCAATTTATATCCCAGTCATTCTCTATTGCAGTAGCTACAAATTGACTGTCTTCACTCTTCACAGTCAATATGCGGTTTCAAATTATCTTGTTGTATGATTGTTTTTCTCTTTCCTCCTGGCCTTTTTTGCTAGATGGCTGGCAAAAACCTTTTCAAGCATAAATTGTTTTATAACTTCTCTCGTAATACTCACAATTGGCTTAGTGAGTTGAGCTCCCTTTTCACTTTTTTTGCTCTTTCTCTTAGCACTATCTTTATAAGTGAAAGGGAAAAGGGAAAAATCCTATTTTCCACCCCACAAATTAAATTCTCTCCATTTTCATCAATTCTAGGCCCCCAACTACCGCTAGGAACATCACTTTATGAATAAATCATTTGCTATGAACTGCCCTATAAGGATCAGATTCCTCGGGGTACATATAGACATGTTCATTTTTTCCTAAGCTAGTTAAGTTGAACGATTTTTCATCTATATGCACAAAGTCATAAAAATCACAAAACATGTGGTTTGATGGAATTGTATGAGGGGGTAAATGACTTAAATGAATCTTGATTCTTAGCAATTTACCCTTTTCAGTTAAAAAGGCTTCACACCATTTGAATGTCTCTTGATTTCCTTCAACTTGACACATATATGAAATTTTGATTTGGTAGCTTGTAGTTCAACTGCCAGTGATTGTAAGGTGTTTGTCTTATAAATAGGGATGGTTTTTATTTGCTCCAGGTTTAACTGAATTCTCTTTCTGCCTACATTGCCCCTCCACTTTGGCGAGACATCAATTTCTTCTCCATTTTTTCAACTATGTCTGCACTCGCTGCCAAATGGTATAAATTGTTCACCTTGACACGTTAAACTCATTAGCCATTGATCTTATTATGGCCCCTTAAGTTTCACATTCACGGATTTGGATAAAAGGGCCTTCATTACACTGTTTCTATCGATGTCGTTTAATGCATGATACTTAGGATGTTTTTACTTGGACTGTAATTTGCTGGTCTGGTCTGGTCTGAACTAGTCTGGTCTGGTCTGGTCTGGTCTGGTCTGGTCTGGTAAGGTCTGGTTTCTTTGTATTTTTATAACTATCCAAGTCTGATCTGGTCTGGACTGGTCTGGTCTGGGACAAATTACAGTCCAAGTAAAAACATCCTTACCCCAGTTTTGTCTCACCATATTAATAATGTCTTTTCTTTTGGTTGTGTTTCGTCAGGTGCTGGAATGAAAGTATGAGATGTAGCTGGGGGGATATATAGCTGCAAAAAAGTGCATGGTGACAGAGGATCGGAGGAGAAACATTTAAATCCATTTTGGTGGGTAGATGGACATATGGTGATGTTTAATTTAGCAGCTTCTATATTTATGATGTTGTGACGGTGGGAAAAATCAAAATTTTAAAGTTGTTTGGAATTTTGTTTATTCGCCAGTGGGATGGGTTTTTTATTTCCCTCCTTTTTGGTTGCAAGTTGTATACATGAATTGATGATGTGCACTTAATCTATTTGTCAAATCTTTCTTTTGAGTGGACAGGTTGTATGTGTATTGTTCATGAGCACTGTTTGCATTAGATTGTATGAACCTTTTCTTTCCATCATTTAAGGAGCATTACAGTCCAATACTCCAGTCAACCCATTTCACTGTTTCTCCTTATATGTAGTGCCGGTCAACATTGGTCAACGATTTTGGAACGGATGGAGTATTACTTATTGACATAAAAGTTATATATTTGATTGAAAAGACTTTATAAAATGTAAACAGTGTGCTTGAATTTTGTAAGTGTGGTATATATTGTGTGAGTGTGATATTAATTGTTGATGCATAAGTTATTTAATTGGTGTAAACAATGTTATTATAAACAATGCAAGTCACATGTAAGCATGTGTAAATGTACTTTATCTTTGTGTTAGTTATGGAACGTGAATAACCTAGTTGGATTTTAAATGTAAATCATAAGGACGGAAAAATATACACTATATTTCAAATAAGAGTTGCAAATTCATCAAATACAAATTAAATCAAATGTTTTGTTTTAGTCTAAGAAAATATTAGGTGCAAGGCCGTCTAATGAATTTGGAGGCCCCGGTTTTAAATGTAAAATCGAGGCTCCACATTAATATAAAAATTAAAAATAGGTGCTCACGGCACCTATCCACCTAAACATCGAGGCCACGCCACACATCCTCACTCTTGTGTGTGGCCTGCAATGTCAGGACAGAATGATCACTCGGCCCAGTATCCGCTGACACCTCCATGCCTACAAAAATGAAAAAGGATATTAGTTAAATTTTACTATTTTATTAATTGTTTTTTAATTAAAATTATATTAATTAATTTTTTGCCATACCATGTTAGTATCAGTTGTGGATAATTATAATTAAAACCTCACCCAGTGGATCCCCCTCCATCTCTTGATGATCTCTTCGCACATGTGGTCCTATTATGGCCAGTTTGTTTACATTTTCCACATCTAACCGTTCCTTGGGGACCTTCATCCATCTCATTCTTGATACGTGTGGACTTAGGTCTTCCCTTAGCCCGAAGCATGGATGGATCGTGCACAATTTGAGGTCCATGGTAATCCGGCCAATAAGAACGATCAGGAATGAGTTTAAACACTCTTTGATATGTGGCGGCGTATTGCTTAGATGAGAAAAAAAGATCCACAAATGCACGAGAAGACAAACTACGTTGTCTACACACGGCTAATACATGGGAGCATGGAATCTTATATATTTCCATCCTTTTACAAATGCAAGTACGCCGATGCAGATGGACAGTTTGTTTACTCTCACCCTTTCCCAACGTTCGACCACCACATCCTGTTTCCACTTGGTATATCCCTCGACCTATATCAAATGGAGTAACAGTGTGATGCTTGGCCTTCTCTATGTTCTTTTCAATCAAATCCGTGACGTGTGGGGAGTACTCGTGACCTTCTGTCACTCTTCTTTTGCTGCTTTCACGCCTATTAACAAAATAAGCATTGACACGGTAAAAGGAAACATGGACCAAAGCGGTGATGGGCAAATATCTGACATTTTTCATCACGCTGTTGAAAAACTCAGCCAGATTAGAAGTGATAGTACCGTATCTGTAACCGCCATCGTGGTGTAATGACCACATTTCCAGGGGAATGTTGCCCAGAAATTGCCGTGCCTCCACCCTCATTTCCCCTATCTTCTTGAACCCACCATCAAACTTCTTTTTCTGATGTTGCCGTGCGGTCCAGACAAACAGATTTTTTAGGTGAGTGTCTTTGAAATGAGTGTGCACATTTGATGCAAGATGGCGGATACATCACCTATGGTGCGCATACGGCTCCTCTCAAGTACTGCCCACCTCATTCATTGCCCTCACTATACCTGCATGTCTATCAGAACTGACACACAACTCCCTATCAGTGACAAACTCCCTAATGCATGCCATAAACCATGGCCAACTCTCCCCATCCTCAGATTCAACAACTGCAAAGGCCACAGGAAAGATTTGGTTGTTCGCATCACTACCCATAGCCACGAGCAATGTACCCTTGTACTTTCCATACAAGTGTGTGCCATCAATTATAAGTACGGGTCGACAATGCTTGAAACCATGTATTGAAGACTTGAATGCCCAAAATATTCTCTGAAACTGCATATAACCTGTGGGAGTAATAGGGGGTGGGTACCAGTTCACAACAGTTCCAGGATTGGAATGTTGAAGCGCGGTCATGAAATGGCCTCTTGCTTCCCCATTCATGTTCTCCTTTATGATACCGTATACCCATACTTTTCCTCCAACATCTCAATGATAGTATGCACTTTAAGGGAATTATCAGTGCGAAACCGATGTTTGTGGCTAGGGCTAGTTTGGGAAAGGGGGGGATTACGTTCTGTCTGTGCCTAGGCTTGACCCGATGTTTTTACTTAAGGGTAAGTCGTCAAACGGTTGAGCGACTTGTAAGTCGCCAAACCGGATGACGACTTATAAGTCGTCCAACCGTTTGACGACTTACCCTGACCAGAGTTAACTCCAAAAGTATATCAACAATAAGTTTTAAATCAACCCTATTTTCGTAATTATTTAATAATTAGCATTAATACAGAAAAAAACTCAATAAAACTATATTGAACCAGATTTGGATAATTATAAATTAGATAGACATTAGACATTTATGTGATTAAATTAGACCGTTTTAAATCAAAACATATCATAGCAAAAAATTTGTGTCCCTTCGAATAATTATTTCAGGTCCGTCCACATATGAAACAGTAGGTTCCTATCCATAGCCGACATATTGAGAGGCCTAGGCGCGTAGCAGCACATATTGGCTCACCTAGCCTTTTTATTTTAAACGGATATTAACTAAACATTAAACTCTGTACGTGGAATCTTTATTTCATCAGCAGTGAGTATAAAATTACGTAAATGCTTGCGTTTACGGAAACTGCGCTGGAAACATCAAATAACATCGCCCCATCTTCATCGCCATCGTCTTAGGCGATTTCTTTGACGACCTAAATATCTATGATTCCGGTTCGTACTCTGACTCCAAATATTCGCGTCTTTCTCTAAATTTGATCGCCTCGCTGACTTTTTTCGTCTTTGATTCCATTTCTTTTCAATCAGGATCAGTTCAGAGAAAGTCTCTCCACCGGTGGCCGGCTCACTTTATTCTAAAGCTCTTCTGCATATACAAATTTGTACTTTTCATTTTTCCATATCTCATTTCCCATCCCTTTACGGGTGGCTTGTACACGTTTGTAATAGAACATTGTATTATGGTCATTGCCATTGTTGAAATTTCCTCACTATAATGAGAACATTGTGTTGCTCTTCTTAATCTCGGATTGTAGCCTTGGATTTGTGCTATATGTGCTGAGTTTTTCAATATGTCTTGATCTGAGCTGATGGTTACTTGGACAAAGTTGTGCTACTCTTAGCTTGGTTGAATTTGGAAAGTCGTATTTATTTTTCTATAGAGGTGTGTATTTTTCTATAGAGGAATATCCTTCTGATGGTAGAGGTGTGTGCCTCATGAGAATGATATATTTTTGTTTTATTTATAATGATTCTTCTTCTTCTTCTTTCTTTGTATGCTTTTGCTAGGGTTTTCAAATTCTAACTGGTTTCCATGTTAACTCAAAGGGAATATTTTGCTGTTTCTAATGTGATGTTCGTCCGTGTTTCCTAGAAAGTGATATCATCTTCTGGTAAAATTGTAGACTGGACTTTGGATTGGATAAGCTTCAGTTCTTGCTCTGGGTTGGTTGTTTAGTAATGGAGAGTTTAGCACAGTTAGAAGCATTGTGTGAGAGGCTGTACACTTCACAAGACTCATCTGAACGAGCCCATGTTGAGAATACTCTTAAATGCTTTTCTGCAAATATTGATTACATTTCACAATGTCAGTTTATTCTGGATAATGCATCCACTCCTTATGCATTGATGCTGGCTAGTTCAAGCCTCTTGAAGCAAGTCTCTGAGAACAATCCTTCATTGCAGCTCCGCCTAGATCTCTGTAATATTTTGCTATATTGTTTTTTCAAATCATAAGAACTGCTCACGCTTTCTCTTCCCAGGGTTAATCTACAACTGAACTCATATGATCACAATGTTAGTTAATATTTATTTAATATGTTTATTCTTTAATTATGAGAATCCAAGATATGGGAGGAAATAATTTTCAAGCTGCTACGTTGACAACCTATCCTATTATTCGTTTTTTTGTTTCTACTTTTAATTAGTCTACTGTTTATTGTTTTTTATGAAGGGAATTACCTCATAAGCTATTTGGCAAACAGAGGTCTTGACTTGCAACCTTTTGTGATTGCATCTCTCATTCAACTCTTATGCCGAATCACCATGCTTGGGTGGTTTTGTGATGATAGGTTTAGAGAACTGGTTGCAGAATCCATAAAGTTTATGACTCAGGTAAATTTTGAATTTGTGTATGAATTCTGTTTCTTTAAAGGTAATTAACCAAAGCCCCAAATAAGTATGAAATACACATAGAAAAATCTCAGAATGTGAAATCATTTATGGCTCTTAAGGTTGTTTACCCTGATCAAGATCAGAGTTTCTCATCCAGGTTCAAGTTTCGAGACCATTACTAGTTATAGTCGCATCAGTAATAAGAAACAGAATTAGCCCTCATCAAAAAAGAAGAAAAAGAAACAGAATTAGTTGATTCTCTAAGAAGTGGAGACAACCCTTCTAGATGTCTGACATGTATGCTTATATTTACCATCCTGCATTGTTGGATTACTGTGCGGAATACCATATACTAAACCATTAATCACAAGTAGTTGTGTATTATGTATAGAATGGTTGAATTTGGGGACTCCACTATCAATTGTATGAAAGACTTCAGTAAGAGCATTTAGTGTTTTACTACGAAGCGAATGTGTTGTTTCCATTGTAATATGAAGGTGTACCTGCATTACTCTTATTTGTTTCCATTTTACAGGCAACATCCAATTATTATGCTATTGGTCTAAAGATCTTGAATCAGCTTGTTTGTGAGATGAACCAGGTTAAGTTTTGCAATTCATTTGCTTGACTTTATGGCGACCTTTTGAAACACACACTTGAACACTTTTGTAATTTCATTAAAATAGTTCTTATTTCGATACTTTTGAAGCATTGAGCCAATTTTATATTGGTTTTGGCGATTCGTTTTAGGTTGAAAGGGATCCCATAGCACACCTTGTGTTCAGTGTATGATTAGGATACTTTATTGTTAGTGATAACTTTTGGTTGGGCTTGACCACCAGCTTGTTTTTTTTTCATTTCTGATTTCTCCCATAATACCTTTGACTGGGTCTATGTGGGGATGTGGTCCCTATTTGAGGGACAACTTTAGAAATTACATCATGTTATAACTGCTTTCATTAATTAAAAACCACATCCTGGGGATGTGGTCCCAAGGATATGTTCAAGACTTTCAGATCATCTGTTCAAACACATCTTTACCAGATACTGTGTATCCTTATTTCTCAGTAAAGTGCATTTCCTTTAATGCCAAGGATATATTCTTGTATCGACTTCTTTTCATATCAAATTACATATCCCCATGCCTACTGATTTTACTGCTGCCTCTTTCAGCAAAATCAAGGGGCAGCTTCAACCCATCATAGGAGAGTGGCATCCTCGTTCCGGGATCAGTCTCTTTTACAAGTTTTCAGGATATCTTTAACATCCTTGCATCAGTTAAAAAATGATGGTAGTATAACTACAGCTTTAATTTTCTTTCTTGTATGTTGATACTCACTTTGTGATCCACATATGATGGCTCAAGTTCAAACTGCAGTCATAAGTCGACTACAGGAATTGGCACTATCTCTGTCCCTGAAGTGTTTATCTTTTGATTTCATTGGAATGTCCATTGATGAAAGTTCTGAAGAGTTTGGTACTCTTCAGGTACACATTAGTTTTTGAGGAATCAATATTTTGTTTATAACCAAGATTATTATTACAATTATCTTTTATGCTCTTATCATACAACCATCAATTTTATTTCACAGGTTCCATCTTCATGGAAATCAATATTAGAGGAACACTCAACTCTGCAGATCTTTTTTGATCACTACGCTCTTGCAAAGGGCCCTGCTTCCAAAGAGGTTTGTTCCTGGTTGATATTCTTTATGCAGTTCTGATATCACCGAAAAATAACAATCAACGGATAATCTGTTGCCCAAGCTAATTAGCTAATAACTCCCAATATTATTGATGATGATCGCATAACCCTGCGTAGGTTACATATATAATACTCCTCTCATTCCAGTTCTCTTAGGAAACTAATCGACTAATTAAATTGTACGTAACCTATTAGTCTAAGTCCCAGTGGGAAGCAAAGACTTGCGCACCAAGTCTGCAGAACCTGCCTACAAGACTAAGGGAAATCCTAATATAATAAGAAGTAATAATAAAATAAACAACATAAATAAAGCTAATTAAAATTAATAATCCAGCCCATGTATAACCCAGCCCACGGAAGTGGACTCAGGCCCGTCCCCGCCTCCGGTAGACCAGCAGGGGCTTCGGTCTTGGACCCCCTTCTTCTGACCCATCTCCTTGCTCCTGCCGCTTTATATCAAGTTCATTCAAGTTGCTGAACTTCCTTACGCAAGTACTTCTACATATGCTTAAGTCCTTAGGCTTGCTGGGATTACTTTTCTTCTGCCTTTTTAATTGGGAGAATTCCCCAAGTATGAGTGAACATTGTTGTTTTCCCAAAATAGGACTACTATGTATTCTAGGAATAAAGGTTGAACACAACAACAATAACAAGTTAACAACTGCAACATTACCCCAGTGCCGCAAAGGTTCCCACCTACGCTGGGGTAAGGGGGGGTCGGATGTACGCAGCCTTACCCCTATACTAAAGCATAAAGAGACTGTTTCCGGATGGCCTATGATGAAAATCGCGTTGAAAATTGCATGGACTGACTGCTGCTTCATAACAAAGAACCACAAACAGTTTAGTGAGCCACTTTGCTTTATTCCCTCATAATTCCAATTTTCAAGCAAAAAAGTAGCGAGTCTTTGGCTCCATTGGAAATGGTGGAATAAGGAATAAAGATTGAATGGATTGACAAAATTCCCTTACAAGTTAATTTTAACAATACCAAAATTAAAATGAAATCAAAACCACCCCCAGACTTTGGTGACCATTGCTGGACTCAGGACTCTGGCCAAATATTGCCATCCTCAAAAGTCAAAACCATACTGCCATCCTAGGTTTCAATGACTGCCAGCCAAATACTGTCATCCTGAAATCAAACTACCACATTTTGCATCCTGGATTCCGATGACCTTAGCCAAGTACTGTCATCTTGAAACCATACTGCCCTCTTGATATTGTCTGACGGTGGCTGGAACGCGGTTTTGTCGATAGGTGGATTCAATTTTTTTTATTTATTATTGGAAAATTAAACATGATTTCAATTATATAAGTAAATGTAGTTAAGACTGTTAGGGGAGGGAAAAAATGGAATGTGTAGTCATATTTACTACTCTGTCCATCTCAGTTTGTAAGACACTTCTTTTTGGACTGTACCAAAATTATGATCACTTTCCTAAATTTAACTCCACTAACTTTTTAATTTGATCACTTTATTTATCACTTTTATGGGTCATCCGGAAACAGTCTCTCTGTGCTTTAGTACAGGGGTAAGACTGCGTTCATCCGACCCCCCCCCCTTACACCACCGTAGGTGGGAGCCTTTGCGGCACTGGGGTAAATGAAAATGAAATGAAAATGACTTTATTTATCACTTTACCCTTTGCTTTTTGTGGACTGATCTTACTCTTTCTTACTTTTTGTGGACTGATCTTACTCTTTCTTACTTTTTGGAGATTATAATTGTAAAACAACCACTGTATCCTATATTTTCTTGATACCCTGCACCAAACTCACAAGTACCTTACATTATTGGACGGAGGTAGTGTTATTTAGGAAATGTAAACACTATAACCTTATTTAGGAAAACCCCTATGTGCTAAGCCTATTTAGGGCGATATCATTTTTTTTAATACAAAAGAGCGGCTTTTATAATAATATCAAGAAAGCATACAAGACAACCTCCAAACATTTATTACAAATTTGATCGTAAGCCCTAGGAATAGACATAGATTCAACCACCTCATACAAAACAATCTGACTCGCTAGACACGAAACATGCAATTTTAAGCCTAAAATGACTAGAACTGAAACACTATATATCACCAAAAGTATTCCAAATATCCAAACATCTAAACCAAACATACTCGAACAAAAATAAGAACAAGTATAATTGAAGAGAAAACAACAATGGAATAAAGCCTTTCCATGAAACTTTTCCTGACACGGAGGTGGTTCCAAAGAAAGATGAGCTGCTGGAATATGGGTGAATACCAAATTCTTTTTCTTACTTCGTTCCGGATAGATGTAGAAACAGGTGAAGTAAAAAACAATTTTTATGCCTCTACCATTCTTTATGCAATCCAAAAGAAGGCAGACAGACAGAAATCTCTGACAAGGCGAAGCTGACCAGGGCACCCGAAGCAACTATCCATACTGAGAGAGACAAAACACACCGGAGCGCCAAAGTCCGGGAAAGAACTACCATAGAACAGAACAAACACAACAACTAAAGAAGAACAATCAAGTTGGGTCATATCCCTACCAAGAATCTTTGAGAACGGATGTCACATTACCTTCCAGGCAAGATTTTGATGACTCTTGCTGATTGTCATCACACTGACTACGGATCGTGAAAAAATACTTACTTACTAGGGTTTATTGTGGCGCCCGACTCTCAAAACAGCTACTTTGGGTTAGTTCACCAATATACTAGGGCGATATCATTTTTAATACATCTGAAGATATAAATGTTTTAAATGAACTCCATTGGATCTCATTTTCGATTCTTTTATCCTCCATTTGTTTGTCTTTTGGTCTATTTTGTCAATAAGCTGTGGCCTTTGTTTTTTCTGTGAAACCTAAATTGTGATTAACCGGGTAAACTTCTGTCTATTAAAAGAAACTCCCCAAAATGGAGAAGACTACCAAACTAATTTCGTTAGCCTTTTGATTTCTAGTCTCACACAAATTGACAAATTAACTTCTATCTTTTCTTTGAGGGCATCTGCTCCATATGGTGATTGTTGAGCCAATTCTCGTCACATTTTAGACTTTATAGTGAGATCAACTTCTGAATGTTGTACAGCTTTCTGATGACGGTTTATCTCCTTTATTTATATTTTTCATAGTCATTGGAGTGTTTGGTCCGGCTGGCCTCTGTAAGACGCTCTGTCTTCACAGATGCTGCTGCACACACAAAGTTCTTGGCCCATCTCATGACAGGAACCAAAGAGATTTTACGAACTGGCCTAGGTATATGTCTTGCATTTGTTTATTCTTTGCGTTTGCTGGCTCCTGGTGCCATATAATCAGTGCACGTTTCTCCGTATTTTTATTCTTGTTCCGTCTTGGTTATGGATTCAGGTCTAGGTGATCATGATAATTACCATGAATTTTGTCGTCTTCTGGGACGATTCAGAATAAGCTATCAGGTAGTGCTTTTTCTTCTTCTTATCTTCTATTGTTTCACTTTTGTGCCCTGACTGTTGAGTGTTGTTCATTGTTTTTGGACAAACAAACAAGCAAAATGTATCTTACAAAGTGGGACAACTGGAGTATTCTTTTGGAGTGTTAAAGTAGTGCTTAATTTTTTTTCTTTCTGTTTGCAGTTATCAGAATTGGTCAAAGTGGAAGGATATGGTGAATGGATACATTTTGTGGCTGAATTCACATTTAAGTCGCTACAATCTTGGCAGGTGCATTTCCCTTTTGAAGCTTTTCCACATAATGAGCATCTTAACTATTTTTTACTAGTTTTTATGTATGTATATTGTTTGCACCCCAAATACAAGTCAAGCACTAATAAATGTAGATAACCACCTTTGGGTTATGGATTTGAACACTTAAAGGACTCATCAGCATAACATCTTAAGTTTCCTCTGTCAACTCTTTCCTTTTCATTCACCTTTAAAGTATACCCCTTCCCATTTTTTCCCAAGTAAATATATTTTTTGTCCCAAATGCTTAATATCTATTCAATAGTTTCGATTCATCACCATTAGATGATGTTGATAATTTGGTTCCAGTTAGATCCCAATACCAACTTAGTAATAAAAGAGCAAAGGTTATGATATTTTATCAATGTTTTCATGTCCTTCCTCTTTAATTTATTAAATTTACTCCCTCTGTTCATTGATAAAGCCCCTCTTTTCCTTCTTGCACTCCTTGTCTGCACCCTAAACCTACATCTCAAACTCCCTTTTTGAGTTTAGATATTTAGTATCACTGTGTCCTTTACATGAATTGTAATGCAAGATCAACATGTTAATCGTGAAATACCAAAACAATCATTTTTATCTATTTCTGAGTAATTGGCTGGAAATGGCATTTGCATCTAATTGCAACCGGTGCCTATATTCTTGTTAAAAATTGCTTAAACTTCCATTATAAAAATGAAATTACTCTTTCATCCTGCATCCTTAAATTTTATCTCCACATTTGGATCCTTTACCTCTATTGGTCAAGGTGAATGGATTTGTTTCTTCGTCTAGACATAGTGTCATCTTTTTGTTGACATGCAGTGGACTAGCAGCAGCGTGTATTACCTTTTGGGTCTCTGGTCTAAGTTGGTGAGCTCTGCACCATACCTGAAGGGTGATGCACCAAGCTTGCTTGATGAATTTGTTCCGAAAATTGCTGAAGGATTCATTACTTCAAGGTTTGATTCTGTGGAGGTATTATCAGAATGCATATTGCCCCCTTTTGCTTAGCCCTTGAATAATTTGCTCTGCGCGCACACACACAGGGGAGGGTTCGTATGAGAACCCCTCTTAAAATGAGAACCCATTTTAAAATAAGAACGTCTAATCTCCATCGTTCATTTCTATAATCAATCGCTAATAATGACAAGGTGGCATTTTTGTAAATATATAGGATGAATTGCAAAAAAAGCCCCATTTGAATTTGGGATAATTATGAATATGACCCCATGTGAATCCTAACCAATGATTGCAATAAATGAAAGGTTGAGATTAAAAGTTCTCAATATAAGAAGTTCTCATTTTAGGAGGGGTTCTCCCAAGAACCCTTATATATTATAGGTTATAGAACCACAATATATTTCCAATTGCAGGCTACTACTCTTCCTGATGATTCTTCAGAGAACTTGTTGGAGAACACCGAGCTTCTTCAAGATCAACTTGATTGCTTTCCAGCACTTTGTCGATTTCAGGTATATGATGCATTTCATGATTGGAGGTGTGAGTTTTCACTGTCTTTAGTGACTGATTTGCATGCTGTTCATATTCTGATTCTAGTATGAAAGATGCTGCCTGTTTATAGTGAGTACCTTGGAGCCTATACTGCAAATTTACTCGGTATGTTTGTATTTGTATTCCAAAATGACCAGCCTTTTATTTGTATATTTTTCTACAATTCGCTGTTTTTTCTTCACTGCATTAGGAAAGAGCTCGGCTTCAGGCTGGCGGTAGTAACATTGAGCTGTCCGTTACTGAAGACAAGCTTGCTTGGGCTGTTCATATAATTGCTGCTGTTGTGAAGATGAGACAGTGTGCTAGTTCTAGGTACGAAGATTAGCTTTCCAACACCCCCCACCCTTTATTGTTTTTACTCACTTGAAAATATATTGTGTTTCACCATTTACATTGATCATGAATTCTGTATTGTAAAACAGTCAAACAAAATGTTTTAATATTTCCACGGTTTGCCTCTGCAGTGCTGCTGCCCCAGAAGTACTTGATGCAGAACTCTCAGCCCATGTTATACGTATAGTAAATGTCACAGATAGTGGGCTACATAGTCAGGTATGCAGCTGGAAAAGATCTTTACTTCATTAACATCTATTTAAGATTGTAAAATGAGTTGTTATTTCTTAGTTTATCATTTTTTATGCTCCTGATAGTAGGATTTATCTCGTTTTTGTGAGACCTTAAGGTCTCATGCTTTCTGATTTAGGGTTTTATCGTAGTTGAATACACTGAAACCTGTATAATTCATAGTTCCCAACTTTGCGTCTTGTGTTGGAACTAAAACCAACAATACTGCACTTCAAGGAAAAACTCCCGTTTGTGCTTTTTCTATAACTAGATAGTGCACAAGTGTCAGTCATATGGTATGATATTTTTTGTTTTAGATTCATTTTATATTCAAACACAATTTTCTCCCAGTCCTCCATGAAAGTTTTCTCCAGTTGTCATGTTAAATTGCTTTTTATTTGCAAGGTAATAGGGCCTTTTAAAGGTTTGCCTGTTTTTTCATCTCTTTTAGTTTGTGCTTGCATTAAGTTAACAAGTCATTTGCAGAGATATGGTGAAGCGAGCAAGCAAAGGCTTGATAGGGCAATTCTAATCTTTTTCCAGAACTTCAGAAAGTCTTATATAGGTGATCAGGCTATACATTCGTCAAAGGTAATATAAATCTTCAGTCTTCACAATGTAGGCATGTAGCTAAATAATTAGGTCAAATGAGTATGTACTTCAATGCAGTCTATTTCTACTGCAGCAGTTGTATGCCCGATTGTCTGAGCTTCTTGGACTCAATGATCATCTTTTACTATTAGATTTCTTTATCCGAAAACTTGCAACAAACCTTAGGTGTTATGCAGAGGTTATTCTTCTTGATCTCGTATCTTCCTGTTATCATTTTCAGTAGTTTATATTGCATCTTATTTTGCTCTAACATTCAGAGTGAAGAACTCATTGATCACACTTTGCGTCTGCTGCTGGAGCTGGCATCTGGGTTAGTTTGATTTTATAAAATGTTGAACTTTTCTGTAGTACATCGCAAATATTCTAACCAGTATGAGGGTGTCCTTTTTGTTTGCAGTTACATGACCCAAAAGTTACTTCTCCAGTTGGATACTGTTAAGTTTATAATGGCACATCCTACGGTAGATATATGCTCTTGCCTCACTTGTCAATTACTTATTAGTACAATGTATTTGATATTTGCATACTATTAATTATTCAAATTCGTCTACATTTGTATTTTTTAGAAAGAACACTTTCCCTTTCTAGAAAAGCAAGCATGCTTTCGCAGTAGAACAACATTTTACTACACTATTGGATGTCTAATCTTTGTGGAGGATATCTCTGTGAAATTCAAGATATCAATGGATCCTCTTCTCCAGGTACTATCTGTCACCTACATTCGGACATTCCTCACTTGGGACTGGTACTAGTATGTGATACTCTGGTTGTGCACTTTACTGGTGTATCTTGTTAGTAGACATGATTCATTTGTCACAATCAGATTTCTTTGAAGAAATTGATGTTTTGTTATTACATTGAATAGATTCCTAAATTAAAATTATTTTTGTTTTAAGTTGATGACATTTTCAAAACTTTCAATGTGTCATACTATTTGGTGTGGGTTCACCATGTCTTAAATATTGGTGTAATTTTTCCATGATTGTAAATTTGAATAGGTGCTGGACTGGTGCCTAGATGCTCTATTCTTCAAATACTTAATTTTAAAATAAATAGTTTTACTAATTAATGCCTAGTATTTCTATAATAGTATAAAATATAAAAAAAGAGAAGTACCCTATCACCTGCAGATAGAGTGTTGGTTACGGTGTCTAGGACTCTTAGATACCGCATATGAAGCCTAGCCAGCCCAATGCCTAATGGATGGCTAATTTTTACGTTTTTGCTTTGGTGCAGGTTTCCTAGACTTGTTTTTATATTACTTCCTTTTGCGTTACACGAATGTGTTATGGTATTTAATGTGGAATGAGAAATACAGTTAAAGTTGAATGTGATAAACTAACGATATTTTGGGGTGCCTGTTTAGGTTTTGCTCACTTTGGAATCAGTACAGGACACCATGTTCCGAACTGATACAGTGAAGTATGCTTTGATTGGACTTATGAGGGATCTTCGTGGGATTGCTATGGCTACTCATAAGTATGCACTTTATTACACCAGACTGGCTTTGGTCCAAACTTTTATGTGGTACCAACCTTTTGTTTTTGTTCAGTCGCCGGACCTTCGGCCTACTTTTTGACTGGATATATCCTGCTCACATGCAAGCTGTTTTGAAGGGAATGTCACATTGGGCTGATACTCCAGAGGTAACTGAATATGAGATTCCAATATTTCATATACTGAAGTGTTTAACTACTGACATAAGTTTCTTTATGGCGGTATTACGATTATATGCAAATAGATCTGTGCTGGCCTTGGTTAATGTTTTGTTAGATGAATTTCCCGATCAGTTCTTTTGATGTCTTTCTCTCATATCCTAGTTTCATGCAGATTATATTATTTGACATTTTAGTATTACGTTTTGCAATATGATATTACATTCATCATTTTCATTTCATTTTCATTTGCCCCAGTGCCGCAAAGGCACAATATGATATTACATATTTCTCTTTAATCCTTTGATTGAATTGAACAGGTCACAACGCCACTGTTGAAGTTTATGGCTGAGTTCGTGCTAAACAAATCTCAACGATTAAATTTTGACTGTTCTTCCCCAAATGGCATCCTTCTTTTTAGGGAAGTTAGCAAATTGCTTGTTGCCTATGGATCAAGAATCTTGGCAATCCCAAATCCTACTGATATATATGCCTACAAATACAAGGGAATATGGATTTCTTTAACTATTCTTTCAAGAGGTAATTTTCACTTATGAAGTAGTTAGATCATGGAAGCATACATTTAAAATTTCAAACCTAAACCTCAATAATTAAGTAATAAGTAATTTATGTATACTGAATTGCTGGTTTCACTCCATTACAGCTCTTGCTGGAAATTATGTAAATTTCGGTGTGTTTGAACTCTATGGAGATAGAGCACTTACAGATGCACTGGACATCACCCTGAAGATGGCACTGTCAATTCCACTAGCTGATATTATTGCCTACAGAAAGGTAAAAGGCATCTAATATAAATTTAGCAGTTTCTTAAGAATTCAGTTTATTAATTTTTTTCTATGCATGTTTTAGTGATGTCATAATAGTCTGATAGCTAAGAACACCATCTAGTGTTTCTTTTCTGTATCTTGGGTTGGGGATCGACCCTATTTTAGTATTTCTTCAGCTCTGTGTTCGTTTTCATCAGAGTAGGTTATTTAAATTATCCCATTCGTTTCTTCATCTCTGTTAGTTGTTGTTAGGCTAAGGTATGTAAACTATCCCACTCTCCTTTCTGCTAGGATTTGTAAAGAAATTGATATGCAAGTTGTTAAGTTCTCAGGAGCTAGCTAAGTTACTATCTATTGACTGTACAACAACATTACCCCAGTGCCGCAAAGGCTCCCACCTACGGTGGGATAAGAGGGGGGGGGGGGGTCGGATGTATGCAGTCTTACCCCTGTACGAATGCATAGAGACTGTTTCCAGATAACTTATGATGAAAATCGCGTCGAAAATTGCATGGACTGACTGCTGCTCTGTAACAAAGAAACATAGACAGTTTAGTGAGCCATATTGCTTTATTCCATCATATTCCAAGCCAAAAAATAGTGAGTATTTGGCTCCATTCGAAATGATAGAAAATATCTATTGCCTGTAATGTTAGTTTTTTAATTCTGTGAAGAATTTCCTGCTTAGTGTCTTTTCCTCAGGCCATGGTGTAATCTTAAAATTGATAGGAAATCATTTTCTGCTTAGAGTTTTTTTAGCCCAGCAAACCACATTATAACATTTCATTAAACTTAATAAATTCTTGATTCACGCTACTAGAACTTTAGTAAAATGGTTTTTTCTCACATGTACCCATACCTGTTATGCTTCTCTTATTAGCACTTGTCTAGTTGTCTCAGCATTTTCATTTCAGAGAAAGTTCATCTAAATAAGCTGGTTCAAACTGATACGAGTACTTTTTTATTCCCAATTACACAGTTGCAGACTTGCAGTTCAGAGATGCATTTTTATCTGCAGCCATCTCTTTTCATGTTTCTTTTCTTAATTCTTATATGTTGGCCAGTTGGCCACTTCTAGATAAGATAGACATTTGTCACATTTCATGGTTACTATTGATTTGTACTAAAATCATATAAGGGCTATAGATGTAGATGTCTGATTAATTTCAATTCTCTGATTATATCATAACCCTTTTTTGTTCATTTGTTTAGTTCCTACCTACTCTTCCTACAAACTAAGGAACCAATCACGGATAGTATCATAAAGCATAACCTTCATTTTTTTCTGATACTTTGGCACAATTTACTTTTGTTCTCCAGTTTCTTGTTTTCTGTTTTTCTGCTTTAGTTCTTTATTTTTCTGTATGAAAAATGTTTACAAACACGGTTTTCAAAGTTACTTTACAAATCTATTTTTCTGCAATATTCAGTGATGGTGGGGGTTGGCATTTTAGTGGTAACTGAGGTATTTGGTGATCAGATGGTTATTTTGGTGGTAGGAGTGGCGGTGGTTACTAGTACACAGAGGTAGCCGTGGTTGATGTTTCCGGTTGTGAAGGAGGTCTTTTATGTACTTGCCATAAATGATTTGTTGTAAGTTTGAAAAACAATTTTTCAAGCATTAAAGAGCATTTTCCAAATTTTGGAGGAATGAGAAAATTGATTTTTTCCCGGTTTTTTTGGATGTACAAATGTTTTGGATTTTCTAGTCTCCATTTTTATAAAGAAACAGAAAAGTTTCCCATGAGTAACGTTCACTCATTCCTACTTCCTACAAGCCAAAAAACTTGATGACATTGACATATCAAACATATCCATTCTCCTTATTTACTAGGCCATACGTGTCTTGCATTTGCATCTCTAGTGTGATATTATTGACGTGCAGTTGTAAGTCATTGTTTCAGTCAACCTTATATCTGCTTTAAAGTATATTTTTATGAGTATATTTCCATTGCACTAAACATAACTGATAGCCTAATCCCAATAAAACTCTTTTCTTTGCAGCTCACAAGGGCATACTTTGCCTTCTTGGAAGTTCTTTTCAACAGCAACATTGGCTATGTACTTAACCTTGATACAAAAACATTCATGCTTATAGTTGGTTTGCTTGAAGCTGGTCTGAAAGCACTTGATGATGGCATATTAACTCAGGTGAAACCTTAAATACAAACATTTAGCACTGGGTATTGAATGAAATCCAGTGAAACATTTCGCACTAACTTGGATGGAGTGGAGCGGATGGGATGAAGTGACAGTGATATGGTTTTTGTTAGGGGTGTTTGAGGAAAGAGGGAGGAAAGTGGAGAAGTGCACTCTACCACGTTTGTATTTTGCTCAGTTTGGGGGGATTTGGGGCACTTTTATTTATAACAGATCTCTTTCCTTTTTTTAATGAAATTGTTTGGCATATACTTGTAGCTTACTATATTTTTAATTACAGCAAAATTATATCATACTACCTCCGTCCCATTAGAAGGTTCTCGTCCACTATTCACATGGTCAACTTAAATCATTTTTAATCTTTTACTTTATAAATCAAATTTTTATCAAAGTTACATTTTTTATCAGCCTTTGTAGCGGTTTTAATGTACTTTCTGAATATGTAAATTTTATTTACTAAAAATAATCAGTGTGTGAAGACTGTGAACATGGATTAAGTTGCTTTATCGTCAGTCAAGCATCATAAACCGTCAACGGGAACCTTCTAGCGGGACGGGGGAGTATATTACTTTATATATTTTGAAGGGGAGTCTTGGCGCACCGCTAAGGTCTTGTTGTCTGACCGAGAGATCACAGGTTCAAGTCTTGGGAGCGGCCTCTTGTCAAAAAATATACAGGGGAAGACTTGCCCCTTACACCCTTGTGGCGGGAACCCCTTTTTCCCAGACCCTCACCTTGTGGGAATGCTTTCATACGCCAGGCTGCTCTTTTTTATTACTTTTATGGGAAAACTGTCAAATAGGCCCTTGTTCTATACCAGAAATGTCAAATAGGCCCTTGTTCTATACCAGAAATGTCAATTAGGCCTTTGTACTTTCAAAACACCCAATTGAACCCCCGTACTCCGTTCCTGCCTGTCTTTCTGCCTCCCTCCCCCTCTTTTTTTCTTCCTTCCGTTGGGAATAGAGCTGTGGCTTATTCAGCGCTATATTTCCTCTCTCTCTCTCTCTCTCTCTCTCTCTCTTTCTTTTTCTTGATGGTTTTCTATTCCCCCCAGCCTACAGCGGAACTCCCACTAGGTGGCTACATAGACGATCAACAGCAAAGGTAACCGGCAGCGAGACTACCAGTGATGAAGATGACCAGAGATGACACCAATAGCTCCCCACTACTTTTTTCCTTTGTATTTAATCAATTCAGCCTTCACAGATCATGTTCATCTTCTCCTTTCGATGGTAAGGGCTGGGTTTTCTAAAAAAATCCAATCGGAAGTTGAGAAGAAAGACAAGAATATGAACGGAATGAACGGAAACAAGCATCCGATGACTCATTCAGGATTAAATTAGGCATTATAGTGAAACTGAGGTTGTCACACACCTTTTCATGCCCAAAAAGAAGAATAGGCGTCTACGTTTTAAAACCACGTCGTTGTTGAATTGTTCCCAACCCTGTATACATAACCATTACAGTAAACGCAAAACAAAATGAGGATTCATAACTGTAAAGATACAAATTAAAGATTTTAAATCGTTTGGGAAGGGATTGGTACCATTATTATCAAAGATGGGAGCACAAAAACGAATCAAGACAGTTACTCCAATGCCTTGTCTGCTTCAACATTTATCATGAAATGCATACCATTAGCAGAGGTTTACATATGCATGTCCACCATGATTGAACTATTTTTTCAATATATACAAATTACAATGGTGTGAGGATACACGATTGGAGTGAATATGTGCCCAGTATTCTTCGTATTTAGCTCGGAAGGTGCCCATGCCGGAAATGGTTGCTCAAGCGGTGGCGCTAGATATTAAGGGTGACTCCGACCGGTCAACCTCAACTCGACACACATCTCTCCTCCAGAACCAGTGGAGGCTCCCTCTCTGCCAGAAATGAAGGTCGTAGAGGAAAGTGAAGCAGCGAAAGCACAGGGTTGACCAGATCTATGTGAGGAAGAAGCGGATTGGAAAGAAAGAGAAAAAGGAAAAGAAAGAGAAAAGGAAAAGGATGAAAGAGGAAAGGAAAATAATTGCCACATAAGCCACCACACGTGCAGGAAACCGGGAAAACAGTTGGTTGGCTGCTAATTCGCCCAATTGAGTGTATTTTAAAAGTTCAAAGGTTTAATTGAGTGTTTTCAAAGTACGAGGGGCTAATTGACTTTTTTTACTAGAACGGGGCCTATCAGTTTTCTCTTTATATTTTCTGAAATGCTAATTCTTCATCCTCACTCAGTTGAACCAATTATTTTTTTTTACTCTTCTAGTTTCCTCCTTCCCCTCTTTTGAACCTAACAAGGGGTTAGCACCATTAGAGCACAAATCACTTTTGGACAACTTTCTTCGTGTTAGAAAAGTGACTTTCAAAGCTGGGGCTTCTAAGGCTGGAGAGAGTAACTTGTCATCTGGATTCTATATTTTAAGTTCTTTTCATTATGAGCATTAGTAGGACAACAGTGTGATAAGTTAGAAGAAGATTTGCACTATAGTAGAAGCTATCAGAAAAGTATGTGTTTTTATAAAAATTCCTGTTATTTATTCTAGGTGTATGTGTGAATAACTGAAGTAGTAGCATATGTTGGTGGTTTGTGCATAACATATATTTGTGAATTGATTTCTACCTTACAACTGTTCTATATTTTAGCAAATATATATTTTCACACACTTCTTAAAACATGCCTGCTTTTAATTTGCTCCTCAGTGTACATCCGCATTTGATAATCTCGCTTCGTTCTACTTCAACAACATCATAATGGAGGAAGCACCAAATTCACCTGCTGCTGTTAGTTTTGCTAGACACATAGCAGAATCCCCGAGTTTATTTCCTCAAGTAAGCTATATTACCTCAAAAACCTAATATGTTGGTACCCTATTCGTGGTAAAATATACAAAAAACGTTCTTTATTTGATGTACACATTATATTTGCAGTGGTGTAGACTGATACTGCTACTTCTTTTCTACTTTAGCTAAATGACATAAAAAACTTGCTCTACATGATGACTATCTAAAAGTTTTCAGTATGCATTGCCTAATTAGCGTACATTCAACCATGAACCATCTAAATATATTGGTCTTTTCTAATATGTAAATTGTGTTGCTCAACATCACAACATGGTATCAGAAGTGTGAAGAAATAGAGTTCCTTACTCGAAAATTTATGATTACCTTGTGGACTTTGATTTATATTACTTACCTACATACTAACAACATTGTTTTTCATAATTGTGCCCGTTTGGGATCACCATCTTGTCAGATACTAAAAACATTCTTTGAGATTGTTCTTTTTGAGGAGAATGGAAACCAATGGAGTCTTAGTCGACCAATGCTTGGATTGATGCTTATTAGTCAACAGGTAATTGTTTGTAGATCTATGCTACTTTTGTAAAGCTGTACTCTCTTCGCCCCATAATAAACTCCCCGCCTACTTTTGGCATGGAAGCAAAAAGTGAAATTATAGGGTTGAAATTTATTTAGAAAAGAGAGAAATGATATCAAACCACCCAGATCTTTTCTGAAGATATGATAAAGAAGTTTCTTTTCGAGAAACCCGAAAAGGAAAGTAAAAAATCTATATTGGGACAAAGGGAGTATGCGTTAGAACAGTAAAGCTACTTACATCCTCCCTCTTTAAACTATACACAATAAAATGCCAGAATATTGCACATTGATTCATGAAGTCCATATGATCAGTTGACTATTCATTAATCATTTTCCAAGTATAGGTATGCCAAGCTTCATCAAGCCATATCTCGGGATAGGGTTTGATGAGTGTTGTGCTACTGATAACTTTTGAGTCTTTTTTGGCATATTGATCTTTCTATTTTTACTTTTTTGTGCGATGTGATGCACAAATTGTTCTTCATTAATATCTATTATAGTTTATTTGAGTGTAATTTTGATCTTCAAAGCTCATCGTACACTTCAGTTTATTGATTTATCTACTTGTATTCTTTCACAAGTTGATTTCTTAAACTGTTGAATATATGATTTATGAGCATACTGATACGTGATTACATGGTTCTACATAGATATTCAATGATTTAAAAGCTGAGATTCTGGCTTCTCAGGTTAGCTCTCTCAATCTCCATCATCCTTTTTATGAATCACAATATGGTGGAATTTATTTCTTAAAATTTGATTGTGTGATTAACTCTGGAACACTTTGTTCAGCCTCCTTACATTATCCATTCATTTTCCCTTTAGGGTCTCATTCTTAGCATTCATACCTGACCACCCATTTTTTTGTTTTGTTTTTTACAGCCCGTCCATCAGCACCAGCGCCTCTCCTTGTGTTTTGACAAATTAATGATGGATGTTACAAACAGCTTGAGTACAAAAAATCGTGACAAATTCACTCAGAATCTGACAATATTCAGGCAGCAGTTTCGGGCAAAATAAGTTTAGGCGCTTTCTCATGGCTAGTAATACTACTGATTTTTTGGGGGGGAGAATATTTGAATCCCTTTCTGATGTGAATTGTATTAGTATTTCTCGCGGTTTCATTTTAGTGGTCTCACGGATACAAACTCGTGAGGTGCCGAAAGGTCTTCGTTTTTTTCTCGGTGTGAAGAGAGAAGCTTTTTGAAGGTTCCGCCATGTTTTTTCTGGGGGACTTAGCTCTGAACTTCTGGGTGAACTGTGTAGTGTGTACAGGTATATGCTTTTGTATTGTGAAAGATCAAATGACGATATTTTTAATATGTAAATAGGTAGTCTGTAAATAGCTTTTGTTCTGGTTTCATTACATGGAGAAATTGATGTTGCCTACGACATGGGCTCGTAGGCTCGTAGCTATACTCAGGGATGGATCTATTAGGCCCAAATGGGGGAGGCCCCTACTCAGTTTTTTATATTAATATGTTACACTGTTGCAGAGTATTATACTACATATATTATATGTTTCTTATTAAATTTTGAATTATTATAAGAATATGATTGGAATGTGTGTAATACTCCGTTTGTCCAATTAAACATTGTCAACTTTCTTATTTACTATTTAGTCCTAAAATATTGGGAAATTGGAAACCATTAATCCAACCTATTTCCGGTCTTCTTTCAACGAGCCATCTTACTGGTAATCCAAAATAAAGCCAACCTTTATATCCGATCTTCCGTGTGCGGTCCGTATGACTTGGTACCGGTTACTCAAGTGAATTCTTGAATCAACGACTAATTTACCTTAAACCTAATTTGACCTGCTCTTCTTTTACCTATGTTAAAAAACATTACTTACCACACTTTCACTGTGAAGCTATGAACGGATGACGACAAAGTGAAGAAGGTGAAAGAGCAATTAACCGACGGTGTGGAAGAGCAATTCACCGACAGTGAATCAAAACGCCGTTGTGCCAGTAAAATCCATTACAGGTAATGTTTGAAGTCCCTAGTACCTACAAAAAAACTTTGCATCACTTGAAAACATGAAACCGTATGGTGTAATGATATGTTTGATAAAATATGAAATTGAAATTGATCCTAAATGAAAAATATTGGAGATGTAGAAACCGTAATGAGTGTCCATTAATGAATTTTTTAATAATGTCAATGTTGTTATTTATGGTTGCTCACTATGTGTTTGATGAAATTCCTTAATGAGAAATTCATGGGTATAGCCACCCACTTTCATGCCCAAAAGCTTAACTGCCTGTAAAAGAGTAGGCTTTAGTTTGACAGCAATTTTTTCCAAGATTTAATAAAGCAGTTGAATTTTAAATGGTTTATTTCCTGAGTTTGCTTTCTGAAGCATTAAAAAGGGGGAATATCCAATGATTTTGAGGGGCAGTTGCAATATGTTTAGAGCTAACACATAGTCAGAACTCAGAACCAGAAACCCTATTGACTTGGTAATTATCTTAATGGGTGGTCATATGCGCTTAGTAAAAGTTAGAGTTCTTTAGGATGAGTTCCTAATAACAATGAGATGTTTTACTTTTTAAGGTGCTAAATATGTTTTCATTGATATGTAGGTTGTCTTGGCTGTAATGGATCATGTCACTTTGAGATTCTGGCATGGTGGTTCTTTTAGGAAGAAAAATGATTGCTTAGTTTATCTGAATGGACACAATAAGACTTTTGAGGTAGATCCTGATGAACTATGTTGGTTCTGGCTTGAAGAATTGGCAAAGAAATGCGGTAGTTACAATGTGATTAAAGAAATCTTTTATTTGCTGCCTGGTATGAACTTGGATGAAGGATTAAGAAAAGTGTACAATGATCATGAGGTTCTGCAGATGGCAGAAATCCTGGTTAAGGTCAGGTGTCTCGATTTGTATGTGCTTCATGGCCTTGATAAACCAGAAGAATTGCTGATGTTACCGCCAAATACAAACACAGAATCTCTTACAGAACCCTCAGATGTTAACCAAAAAGGTGTTTCTGAGGTCGTACATCATGAGGCTGAGACAACATCATGGGGACATGATGGTGATTATGAAGCTGAGGTTGAACATGAGGCTGAAACAGATTTGTACAGATTTGTCTAGCATCTATTGATCTCATTATGTATTACTACATAACAGGGTAAAAGCTGGCTAATATTATGGCACCTCAACTACCTGCACAACTACCTCATCTCAAAATACTACTAACATTTATTAAGCATTTGTGTACAGATTTGGAAACACAATAGATAACATCATTATTATTGAATAAACTTATTACACCTAAACTTACTTGTAGAAGTTAAGTACAATAGAAAACAACACCCATGAAATAATTAGACAAAGTAACAACTTCTTCTCTTTCTGTGAAGAGTTTAAATTTCTACTATTCAAATCACAAACTTCATTTTTCAACAACTTCACTTTCTCTTTCAGTTTTTTGTTTTTCACTTCCAACTTCTGAATCTTTTCTTCTAGTAGCCTCATTGGAAATCCTTTCTCATTTGTGTTGGACTCCCGGTGGAATTCTTGGTTTTCAAGCATCATGTTCTCAATCTTTTCTTCTAGCATCTGCTTCTTAAGTTCTACCTCATTCAGGATTGAATGATTCTGAATTTCATTTTGTCTAGCATCCTCATCTTCCCACTTGAAAAATCCGCAACTGTCATGCTGTTGCAAATTAAAAAATTAGTATTTATCTCATCCACATATCTCAAACTGAATATAAACCCTAATTTATGCTAGTTTGTAACAAAATCAAAGAATATTAAGAAGGAACGCTTACAGGCCATAAGCAACAACCACGAAACTTCCTTCCCACATTCCTTCCATTTTTTACAACCCTCAAAACAGAGCTCATGTTGTGATGACAATTAATTAGCACATGAGCCCCACTGCTTGATTTCGTGGAAGAGGACCCAACATCGGAATGTGGTTTTCCCATCCGCATAGAGTGTGATTGTATGGCAGCTTGCTCTTGCGTGAAGATGTGACGAATTCAGAAAAAAAAGAGGGCAGGGATACGTCACTAGGCAAGGTTACAGACAAATGGGCAATAATCTTTAATGGCAAAGAAACCAACCTTGAAGAAGATAGAAAGGTGGAAGATAGGAGATACGATGAAGGAACTCCTAATAACCTTTATCCGGTTGTCGTAGACCTGAATAATTTTTATAACCGGTAAATCTAAGTCAAGGACCGCACACGGAAGATAGGATATAAAGGTTGGCTTTATTTTGGATTACCAGTAAGATGACTCGTTGAAAGAAGACCGGAAATAGGTTGGATTAATGGTTTCCAATTTCCCTAAAATATTTTATTATTTCACGTATATGTTAAGATTGACCCGTTTTTATGAAACGGTGGGAGTAGAGGTTGGTCCAATTCATATATGAATTCTGAAAAAAATGGCACTAATTTTACTGCATGAGTTATTTGCAATGTTCTTACTGAATACTGATTGTTTTTTGGATGAAAATGTTCTTAATGATTTTTTTGGATGAAAATGTTCTTACTGATTTGTATATGACCATTGATGTATCCTCATTAAACAAAGTTTCTGGTTTGTTCTTAGTGATTATACTTCTTTTGCCCATTCTAGTCAATATTGTAAGTTCTAAATACTTTTAAAATGAAATGTAACTTCAGGCTCAAAATCGAGTGATAATTTCAAATTTTTAAATAGAACAAATTGCTAAGTGTTAGAAATGCTCTCACGAATTGGTAATAATTGCAAAAAATCAGGGGGGGTGGAACTAATTAGAAAAGTTAACTGGCCCGAATCCGGCCCGGTCCGGTGGATCCCGGGCCTTTCCCCACAACCAAAAAAGCCGGGGTTGGATCATAACCGATCCATGCCTAGCTTTATCAACCACAAATACTTTAGTGCAAATTACCCGTATGGTTACCTTTTCGGTTCAAAATATCATTTATGGCCCAAGTGCTTTACTTTTTCATTTTTAACTTTTACTTTTTCATTTTTAGTTTTATATTTCAATTTTAGCCACTTTTTCTAACATCTTCTGTAACTAGAGAAGTATCACCGAGATAGACGCAGGGGGGAGATCGATTCGCGATCAACGTTTCTCATGGCCTTGCCGGTGAAAAAAATCTGGGAGAGCCGACCGGAAACCGGTGCATGACTTTCAACTGTCTTCTCAGAGAAGTGGATCCCATGGCTGGGATTGGGCATCACCGATGGATCTATGTTCGGATATCTCGTCCCGCCATCGTCAGGCAGTTTGGCAATCGATCGGGCGGTCTCCAGGCTTGGAATAGAGAGCAGAGTAGTTGTTTTAACAGTGTAGCTGAGTAGTGCTTTTGAGCAAAGCCGTAAGAAACGACGATGGCCGTATTCATTCTGAGTTGCCAGTCATCTCTCTGAGAATCAGTGTTGCCTTCTTCCATATTGGAATTGGTATAGAAACAACGATGGTTGTATTCATTCTGAACTATACCCCTCTCAACAAGTGTAATATCTTCTCTAGCTACAACTTTAAGTGACTATAGAAATTGATTTTTGCCTCGACAAGTTGGTTCAATTAGGAATTAAAGTTCTACCTTTTGAATTCCACAGATTTGATAAGCTTTCGCTACAGGTTATCTACGATTTGAGGAACATTGGTTCATTTAATCTCAAATCTGGCTGCTGCAATATTTTTGTATATTAGGAGGAAAATGGATTCAAATGCAGTAGTGAGAAAATAAGAGGCTAGCCGCAAAGTGAGATGAGGATAAACCAGATGATGAATCAAATTGCAGAGACTATGAATCAATTGTTGGTGCCATTTCATTGAGGTGATCATTTATCTCTTGAAAATTGCTTTAATGTCTCCTATTTTATTCACTAATAATTTTGTGAACCTTATTTATGTTGATAACATTTAGCACAACTAATTGTTAATAGGGATCAAATTACACATCATAAAATTCCATTTTATTCTTCATCTTTTTCAAGGTTGTGAATGATATTTGTATATTGACATCCTTTAGTAGAGTAGCTTCTTGTGATGGGACTGTGCATGTTTGGAATGGAGGAAATTGGCTTATGTTTTAATTTGTAACTAGATATGCTTTGTAATTAGATGTTTGTGTTTGGAATAGAGGGAATTGACTTATGTTTTTAGGTTGACTAAACTGTGCGAGACTACAAACCTTTTTGAAAAAATACCATCAATGATGGTTGTTACTGGGATTTATGAGAACAGTAAGGGTGAAAAAGAATCAGAAGCTCATATCATAAATGGAGATGATAGTAGTCATAGTACAAAGCAGAAATCTGAATTGTCTACTGACTTCATGCATGAGACTGTTTTTGATGACCATCCTTCTAATGACTCAACTTTCACTGTCTTTAATTCTTTTCCTCTCAAGTCTCAAACATTGCCCTGAAAAGATTGGGCTGTTCAGCTTAAAATCTGTAATACACATCAGATTTTAATTGACTCTGGCTTTGAGTCTTTTAATTGGTAATTGCATTAAAAGAATGGAGTTGTACATGAATTCAACAAATTGTTTTTTCTGAACTTGCAGAAGATGTTGTCAACATAGAAAGAGCAATTCCAGTAATTCTCAAGCTCCTAAAAACTTTGTATATTCTATATAAATATGTCAGGCTCTATTTTTTTTAAAATTACTTAACCTTGTTGATGTTGTGGTCTGTACGGTGTGGTCTCTATTAAAGAAGGAATATATATTTCCAATCAGATGATTATGAAATATCAGAAAAAATGATATACCTACTTCTATTTTACTAATTTATCTTTTTATCCACCATTGCAAACAAAATTCACAAACTCATTTTTTTGTTTCTTTTTGTTGCTTTTGTTTCTTTTTGTTTCTTTTATTGTTTTTAATTGTTTCTTTTTGTTGTATCGTGTTTCTTTTTGTTGCATTATGTTGCTTCTTGTTTATCATCTTCAACTGTGTATCTTTGTTGTTTATTTTTATTTATGATTCCATTTGTATGTGGTAGTTTGATATGTAGATGTGTGTAGGCAGTAGGCAGTAGACATACACCTATGATTCCATTTTTGCATATTAAACTATTGCTGACATTGCTGTACAAGGTGTTATTCAAACGGTCTCCTGCCATTTCTATTGATTTTTATGGCAGTTTCCGTGTTTATTTTCTTGATTATATGGTGCTGCGTTAGGAGTTTTGCAAGTATGTACTGATATGCAAATTGTAGAGTGGTGATTTGCCTTGTACTTTGGTGATAGAGGTGGAGTAATTGTGGAGTGCATGCTGCTGCTGTTGGGGCAGTCTCTCCCGGTCAGATTATGCAGATTATATGATGGTGATGATGTTGCTTTGGGCAGACTCTACCGGTTAGATTATGCGGATTAGATGGTACTGCTGGTAGTTCCTTTGGGTAGATTATACAATGGGAAAATTGTTTGAGGTTGTTTTAATTGTAATTTAGTGCACTATGATAGTGCATGATACATTGACTTTTTATGCTCTTGCGGCTTAAGTAGAAGTATCAAGTATGCCCCTTTGTGATATTGTAAATTACAATTTTGATAGTTATTTAGTTTTTCCATTATTAAAAAAAATTGCACCATGTAAATCAACAATATGAAACATAAATAAACAATAAAAAACAAGATATTCAAAGTTGTCTAAAATAGTAAACAAAAAACAACACTGAGAAACATTATTAAAAAAGGTCACATTTAGTATTTTTTGACATTTTCTCTAAATTTGACTTTGTTTTTTTTACCCTTTTCATTTAAGAGTTTTGTATTTTCAAAAATTATTTTCTTGTTTTCCTAATTGTTTTCTCATTTTCAATTAGTTTTTAGATCTAATTTACAATTTTTTAAATTTTAAAAATATTTATATTTTTAATATTCTTATATTTATGTTTTTCCTTACATTTTTTTGCTTTTAACAAACTTTAAAATTTTGATATTTTTGACATATTTTATATTACTATATATATTATATTATATTAGCAATGTTAAAAATTGTGTTACAAAACTGCAGAATTCTCCCACATTTCTGACTACTAAATGTTTACATTTACATTCCTCATTTCCTTGTTTGCATGTTCAAAATTGAAAAATAAATATATACTACGTATATTTTTTACATTTATTTTATTTTTATATTCTTTTTTACCATTTTGCTAATTTTCATTGTCTTACTAATTTTTTGAGTTTATAATTACTCAATTTTCTCTAACTTTTTATTTTATATTTTTTTTAACATCTTTACATAAAGAACCACTTTTCTTCTTAATATTATTATGCTTTTAATTGTTAGTTTTCAATTACACTAAAA